CAGGCTCAAGGTTGACTCAGCCTTCCATCCTTCCTAGGTGGGTAAAATGAGGGCCCAAATTGTTGGGGGCAGTATGCTGACTCTCTAACCTACTTAGAGAGGGCTGTAAAGCACTATAAAGCACTATAAAAGTGGTATATAAGTCTTAAGTGCTGTTGTTATTTTATCCTTATGGACTTTTTAGATTTGCCTCCTTTCCAGGGTTGACCTTCATTTTTTCCGAGAAAATATAATCATTGTATGGATGTGATATATTTTCATGGATATTGTAAGCTGAGAGAGTGACTATTTGTTTATGAGATAAGCTTTTTCTGTAATTTTCCATAACAAGAGAAAGCAGAAGAAAAAAAATGTAAAAAAATAACATCTGTGGAGTAGCCTCTTAGTCATAAAGGCAGGATTGCCTTAACTAGACAAAATTGGAAAAGAAATCAGCTTGAGAGAATAAAATTTAACTTGGCAGAATGTTAGAGCCATAGCTTTTGAAAAAGAGTACTTATCTTTACCACCTTTCTAAAGCTGATGACAAAGAGCCTGTAAAACTAGAAAGATTCTGTTTATTTTGTAACAAATAGAACAGACTATTTTTTGTGAAAGTAATGGGTAGGCTCTTAAGAGTATTTAAATAATGAAGTCCCTACAGTGAATTGCAGGATGACAAAAAGAAAAAAGAAAGAAAGAAAAAGTTCTTTGTGGTATATTGTTAACTACTTATAACATTCCCACTAATCCTGCAGCTGGACTTCATCTAAAAAAATGCGTGCAATGTTAACTCCTTCTAAACCAACAAACTGATCTTATGTTTGTTTTGTTGGCATCAGAGAACACCAGTTTTGCAAGTTCTTCCCCTTTTCTGGAAAGCAATCAATAAATAAGAGCGTCAGTGCTGTTCAGAAGTGAATGAAAACCAAGGGAATTTAATTAAACCCAGAAATGTAAAAAATGTAAAACAAAAGTAGACTATTTGGTTAGTTCTAGACTTAATAAGGGGAATTGCTCCCTAATTCAGTTTTATTTTTCTTTGTATTCATAAATCTAGTTAATATTAAAGACTTAATAGTGGTGGCCGGCTATTAAGAAAAAACATTGGGGAGGATGTAGTAAATGCTAGGTGCTAGAGATAAAAATGTCTCAGGATGTTTGTACGCTATATATTTAAATCTTGACATTTAAAAAAGTGTAGAAACATTGCAAATGCAGTTTTATTGAAGCTTTCTGGGAGGTACATGGTGCAGTTTAAATCAGCCAGATTTTTGTGGTTAAACTTCAACCACCAAACTGTTTCGGTACCCTAAATCAGCTGGCCTGGAATTCTAGGGTTATGTCTTCTCCTGGACATCAATTTAGAGAAGACTGCCCAAGCAGGATAAGGTTTATAGCTAAGGAAGAGAACTGCTTTGTTAATATTGACTCTAATGCAATTTGGTCCAGTGCAATTATCCTGTGTAGTTCAAAAGATACAGCTAGCTGGGTTAATGTTTTCTGAGTTCATAATGTATTTGGGCAGAACGCCATGTAGATTTGCCAGCATTGAGAAGGACCTTTAGGAGACCTATGGTAATTTTATTTGCAAATGATAATATTGTTAATCACTCATTTAGGTCATCCTTGTGATGACTGGAAAACATCGAGGTACAAGTTGTCCTCAACTTTCGCCCCCAATTGAGCCCAAATTTTTTGTTGCTAAGTGAAACAATTGTGAAGTGAGTTTTGCCCCATTTTAGACCTTTCTTGCCACTGTTGTTAAGTGAATCACTGTAGTTAAATTAGAAATCTTCTTTTTTGTTTTCCCTAAAGAAAAAAGCCAATTCTTTCTCCATCCACTGTGTGAAGTCTTTTTCCTTTAAAATAGTATTATTTAACGTCCATCTAGATCTTCTTTTTTGTCCTTTCCATTTAATTGTCATTGGATTGTAATCTGCTCAAGTACTTGTTTCAATATTTATTTCTTGAATATTAGATATTAATTCTGTTGACATCCATATCCTATCTATTCTGGACCATGATAAGTGTCTATTTGAATAGAAGATGTATTTTTAGTTTTAGCATTTCTTTATCTCCATGTATCTTTTAAGTTTATTTCATCTACCATTTTAAAAAAAGATTTAGGGAGAGTCTTTCTGTTTTGCTTTATTGTTTTCTGTGCTGTATAGTCCAATTTATTGTCTACAATTCCATTAAAATCTCCCATCATAACTATATTAGCATAGTCCAGTTCAATTATTTTCATATGTAATTTTTTTGTAGAATTCTTCTTGTTTGTCATTCGGAGCATAAATTGCAATCAGGACTGTTTTCATATTATTGTCCATTATTTCCACCATTAGTATTCTTCCATCATCATCGGTATAGATCAATTTTGCTGGGGTGGTCTCTTTAATATATAAAACCACTCCTCTTTTCATTGGGTCAAGGAAGTAAATATTTTCCCTAATTTTGGCTGTACCAAAAATTGTTCATATTGTTTTTTAATATGTACTTCTTGTAGACAAATTATATCAAATTTTAATTTCTCTAATTTATGAAAGGTTTTCCTTCTTTTAACGGCTGAGTTAAGTCCATTTATATTAATTGTAATCATTTTTTTCTCTTCCGAAGTTATATTTTATAGTTAAGTTTAGCAGCTCTCATAGATCTTAGTTCACATTGTTCTTTGGCTTCCACCTTTCCACCTACTGCGCCTTCTTCTTTTTCAGTCGCCATTTGGCAGTCCTCTTGGAATTCAGTTAGTGAGATCTCTTTTTCTGCCTCTTCCTCTTTCCTTCCAAAAAATTCTGTATAAAATAATTCCGCTTTCTCAATTGAGTCGATTCTATGTCTCTGTTCTTGCCATGTGAACATTAAACCTTCTGGAATCAGCCATCTATAATTCACCTCTTTTTTAAGTAGCATTTTAGTCAGGAATCGGTATTCTCTTCTCATCTCTCTCACTCTTCTGGGTATTTGTTTCAAGACCACAATCTCCTTGTCTTTGTATTTCATTGTTTTCTCTTGCCACTTGCAATATTTGCATTTTAATGGCTTTCTTTGTAAATCTAATGTGAACTTCTCTTGGTAAGCTATTTCTCATCGCACATCTTGTGAAAACTTGATAAACCTCATCTATTCCATCCATCATCTTCTCTTGAGTTATTTCCAAAGCTTCAGCCAGTATTTCTATCATTATCTCAGCTAGGTTTTGTCCTTTTTCTTCCTCTACGTTTTAGAATCTAAGATAGAATTCTGATCTATCCATCTCCCATCTCAACATACCACTTTTATCTTGTTCAACCACCATTAATCTATTATCAATATCTCCAATCTTCTTGTCTGTTCGTTTATCTTCTTCAATTTTTTGGAATCTCATCATACTTCAACATCATTTGTTGGATGTTCTCCACTTTTTCATCGGTTTTCCTTGTTCTTTGTTCAATGTTCTCTGTTCTTTGTTCGATGTTCTCTATTCTCTTTTCAATATTCTCTGATCTTGCTTGAATATTTTGAATTCCTTGCATAATCATCTGCAGAGTCACTTTTGTTCTTTTTCTTGCTTTAACATTGTCTGTATTGAACGTTGTCCTCCAGATGGTGGAGAGGAAGAAGTAGAAGTTGAAGAATCAGGAGCTATAAATTTCCTACTCATTTTAAGCAATTCAAAATCTTCAGGTTCTTCTAAACCTTAATCCAATTATGGAGTAACCAATTATAGTTCAAAATAAAAATAGTAGAAAAAAGAAGGCCAATAATAATAATAAAAAAAGGGAGGACAAAATTTCTTCAGGTTCTTGTATACCTTAATCCAATCAATAGTTAGATAAAGAAAAAGACTTAAGAAAAAAAAAGGAAAAGGAAAAATTCTTCAGGTTCTTCAGCACCTTAATCCAACTGAAAGATCTCAAATAGAAAAAAGTGCATAAAAATAAACCAGAAAGGTAGATGAAAAAACAAATATTCCAGGAAAGGGAAAAAAAAGGCTTTTAAGGCTTTCCCTTTAAAATAAAAAGCAAACATAGAGATGGACTTCCAAAAGAAAAAAGAAAAACAAAGACAAGCTCCAACAAAGCCAAAAACTCCAAATAGTTATTACAAAAAAAAAAAGATAAAAAAATACAATAAAGCTGGTGAGGAGGGATAGCACAACTTAAGAAAAGTAAAAAGGGCACACTGCACTTTGTTTGATTATCCAAGGTTCTTATTATAACTCTCTTCTCCAAAAACTTATCACCTTCCCCCCCCCCTACGTTTCAACACCAGACTCCAGCTGTTGATAGAAACCCAGAAGAGCACCTGCAATAATACTCTCCCATGCTCTTCCCTCTATCTTATCAAGTAGCAATGTCCTTGAAAAAGAGTCTCAATTCTTTCTTTCTCAGCTTTGTCTGGTCACAGGGAAATAGAATATTTTCAAGCCTCTAGTTGGCAGTGTTACTATTTTTTTTTTTAAAAATGAAATAACTAAAGGGAGCCTCTAGCCTAAAATATTACAAAATCAAAAAGGAGAAGAAAAAAATAGATATAAATGAAAAAAACAGTCCAGTTTTAAAATACAAGATCATATATAGAAAATCCAGCAATGAGAGAAAAAACATTACTTTGACATTCCTGTTTAAAATCGCCGCTTAATCACTTCTGTCAAAACTTTTACAGATTCTTTTCCTTAGGGTGTCCTTTCAGATCTTTTAAAAAAAAAAAAGTTCTCACCAAACCGGCACACTCTCTCTTTCTGTTCTCTTCCGTTTCAGAGCTGTCCCAACTTCAGCAGCTTTAATGGCTGCCTCTTTGACACTGGCAAGAAGACCTTCTCCCGGATCTACCAGGGACTTTGTGGTATCCCTGGGATCAACAGGATGCGCTCTTCACTTTCACTGTCTCTTTGGGACGGTTTAGATTTGATAGGACCGTCCAGGAGCAAAGATATCAGCAGTGATCTCAGACCTCCCAAGATCTCAAGCCGTATCGTCGCGACGCCAGCTCCGCCCTAATACAGCTTTTCTTACATTATGCTAATATTTCTTCCCCAGAAACATCCTTTCTGAAGGGCAGTCCTCTTTTTCTCAAAAGGAAGGACTCTGATATATTGATCAGGTAAGTAAAATGGAGTGTTCTCTTCGTTAAATAAGCTTAAATTTAATTTTATTCTTTATTTTATTTTATTCAAAAGGCCTTTATGAGAGCCCCTCAGAATTTGGGAGCAACCATGGAAATTAAAGATAGTTTTTCATTAGAAGTTCACTTATAGTTAATATGATGGTTCTATATTGAAATCTGCAGTAATTATAAAATAATACCTTGCTGGATCAGACCAAGACCATCGTAGAAATGTTTTCCTCATTTCTTTGGGTTGTTTTCAAACAGAAAATGGAGGCATACTTCTCTCTTGCTATTGTTTGCCTTCAGTTGTAATTTGGAAGTAGGCTACCTAACCTGGAAGGAAACACTGAGTCTTCCAAACAACAGCAGTTAACAAATCTGTTCTCTATGCGTTTATCCCGTTCCTATTTAATTCATCCCAGTTAGTTGCCATCACCACATCTCCTAATAGTAGTAGTCCTTGACATACAACAATTAATTTAGTGAATGTTCAAAGTTACAGCAGCACTGAAAAAAGTGATTTATGACTGATTTTCATACTTAATTACTGTTGAAGCATCCCCATGGTTACATGATCAAAATTTGGATACTTGCCAAGTAGCATGTATCTATGACAGTTGCAGTGTCCTGGGGTCATGTGACCAATGGGAGATCTTTGACCAATGGGATCTTCAGTAATCCCTCTTGGAGGCTGTTTATCAGGTAGCCTAACCAGGGCTTGTGTGCAGGGAGTTGTGATCCAGGAACATAGATGCATAGATTTCATAGACATTTTTTATAAAAATAAAAAATGCCTGTAAATCAGTGCTTGTTTGAAAATGGGCCTGCAAAAGGAAAAAGAGAGGGCTTAATGGGACAGTAGGAATATTGGCATTTATCAGTTTGCCTTCTGCTAAATGGATCTGACACAACTATGGTCTGCACCAACTATGGTCCCTATTTTTCTAACAGCAGAACCTTACCTGTGTGGTTTTGATTCTGTGAGAGTGCTCATCTTATACTGTTAACCAGAAAAAAAAAAACCCTCTACTCTAGATTGTAGTCTATATCAAATATCTTGAATCACATCATGCAAATGTTAATATGAAGTAGGAATCCTTGAAGACATTTACATTCTTTACATCTGGGTGTTTTCATTTTTGTAAACCTGCTGCAAATAGAGGAGTTGTTACTCTGACTGGGTCTCTCCAAATTCTACTACCTAAACCAGGGATGTCAAACTGGCAGCCCGTGGGCCAGATGTGTCACATGGAGGCCATGCCTACCCCAGGTCCGCGAATGGGGAAAATGTTGTGACACGTCACATGACGGCAACATTATGTGGTGAGTTTGACATCTGTGGCCTAGACTTTACTTTTTTTTTTTTTTAGATTTTTATCCTGCCTATTTTTTCATATTCAACTCAAGGTGACAAACATACTACCCATACCCCTTCTTCCTGTTTTCCCCACAGCAACCAACCTGAGAGATGGGCAGTGCTGACAAGAGAGCGCAACTGGCCCAAAATCAATAACCAGATTTCATGCCTCAGGCTTCAACTCTCCCTTGGTCTCTAGTCCAACATCTTACCTATTGCACCACCTGCATTTCTGTTGACTGTATCATATGAGCTATTGATGATTAGTTCAAGGCCATCATTTCAGCCAGCTTCATTTAGGTCTCATTCTCATGGTTAAGAACTGGACTTCAAAGAGAGCCCTTGCTTCAGATACAGTCCATCTGTTTTACTAAATGCCCAGCTGTAGACATGCAACACCCCCCCTCCCTTGCCCCACTTTCCACATTGCTTTAGCAATAACAGGTATAATTGTAGCAGGTTTCTGAGAAGCAATCTGATTAGCAGATGTTAAAAGGGGATGTTTTCAGCAGGTTCTTGGTGTGAAGTGGTAATTTGAGAGATCTTGTGCATGGGCTTGCTGAGCTCTGATTGATGGACTGTCTGCCTTTAACTCTGCCTCTGCTTTGGGAATTACATCATTTCCATAGCCCCCAACTGTTTCCCTACTCCATTGAGGCCAGGTGGAAATATTTATATGGAGAGCAGCCAAGTACCATTTATACAGCTGGAAGGCTGCTTTTCCCATAACCAAGACAAAATACAACCCCTCCTTTTTCACAAGACACACACCAGCTGCATATCTATTCAGGCCCCTTATCATATGAAGGCATACAGCCTTGGCAATTAAAGAGAAGGGGATTTGGTGTGTTTTGCCTGCAATCTCTTTTGATAAGTCTTCATTCTTCCATTGCATAAACTACCCTATATTATTCCTATTCTACTTGAAAAGTAATAATTGGAATCTCTGGCAAATGGTGATTGATTTGATTTCATCTCCTTTGTTTATCAAAGTTATGTTCAGCAACATAGCAGGTCCTGTTATCTTCTGTATAACATGCTTTTAGGTACATTACCTCCTGTCCCCAGCAGATGCTAACACGTAACCAACCTTGTCTGGGCTCAGAAGTCCAGTTAATATTTCCTGGTAATTCCAGGACTATATTCTAGTGAGAATTTTTTTTAAAAAAGTTCCACAAGAAATCAGCAGCAAATATCTTCCATATTGCTACCAAAAAACTTAAGCAGATGAATCTGTGAATTGACTTGGAGTTGTAGGAATATTTACATTTTTAATTGTTATATCTCAAATAATTAATATGTGTATTAGCTAAATAGATCCTGCCAAAAAGCATCTTTTCATTCCTAAGAATGTTTCTGAAATAGGAACTGTATTGTACTGAAAAAAAGCTCTTCTCATTTATTCCAGGTTTTTTTAACCTATCTTTACTGCATTTTAACATATAAAACATTGCATGTTATTCACACAATCCTGAGTGTCTGTGAATATATTCTGCACTTAAATGAAAACAGGAACGCAAGACATTCTTTGTTTCTCAGTGCTAGTGCTGACAACATAGTCTGACTCATGTGTTTTGTCTACTGTCTCCAGCATGGGACTTATTTGAACTTCAGGCATTATGGCTGAAATAGCTGGCCTTAAGTTTGAACTTCCTCTTTTTCCATCTGTCACTTTTTTCTTAACAACTTCCCTAATTGGGTGATCTCAAAATTTAAAACTTGAAAGCTCTTTTTCATTTTGTTTGTTAGTCTTTTTTTTCTTTCTAGATAAATATTGGTATCATTTTCTGACAAGAATCACTACCTGAGCATTTAACCTGTTTAAAATTACCAGAAGTTTTTTCTATGCTTTCACTTTGTCCCGCAGAAGACGTAGATAAACTGAATAGTATTGTTTTATCTTTTTTAAAGAGAGTGATTAATCTCACAGGGCAGTGCTGTTCATATATTCAGTTCAAATATGTTCAAACAAATTTATAATGTGAATAGGTGTGAAGGAGTTATGAAAGGCCTGTAAAGCACCCCCAACAGTCATAAAAGGTTAGCCCCTCCCCCATGACACCACTGCATGTTCGGTGGTCACACAGTGTTCCACAGTCACATGACCACAATTCGCTATGGGCTTTTTTTTTTTTGCTAGTTTGTGGCATCCAGCACTGAATTCAGTTGCAGCACCCATTCAAATGAATCGGTTCACTTTATGATCATAGTGTTCACTTAACAACCTTCATAAAAAAAGCCATAAAATTACTTCTGGTTATGTGGCTGCCTCAATTTACAATCACAACTACTTAAGGCAAGTAATTCAGGTGTAAGTCAAGGACTACCTGCATCAAAAGCTCCTGTGGCATTAAGGAGGACAATCCCCAAACTTACTCTCTCCATAGTTCATCCACAAGTGGAACCAAGCAATTGCCATTCTTTGCCCTGGTCTGAAATCTGACTGCCAAGGGTCCACCTTTCTTCTCTTCCTTCTCCTCCTCCTCCCCCCGCTCCTCCTCCTCGTGGGAAAAAAATCCCATGCAGTTTACTTGTGCCAAGCATTCAGCTTAATTCTCAAGATGAAAAACTACGCTGCTGTACTTTTCTGTCCTGAGAACATTTTTCACACTCTTGCTTGCTTTGTTTTCCATACCTTCCATCTTTTACACTAATATAATGTCTTTTTTGAGAAAGTGCTGCCAGAACTAAAGTAATTTTTCAAATGCAGAAATGCCAGCAGTGGATACAAATGCACAAGGCAGTATGATGCTGGCCATTTTATTTTAAAATCCATCCCTTATTATTCTCAAAGCAGAATAGCTGCAGAATCCTGGGCAACCGTAAATCAACAGATGGCCTTTGGGAGATAGAGAAGGTATCAACATGCTCAGTAGATCCCAAAACACACAAAAAAATACAAAAAATTGAAGGTTACTGCTAAATATTTCTGTTGTGACCTTGAGAAACAAGAATGAGCAAGAAAAAATCAAAACTTACGTAAAGAGGAAATAATGTCACTTGCCAATTTTTGCATCTGTGTATGCAATTTATACATACGCACACATAGATTTCATATGATTATAATTTTTTGCCTCAGAATGAAAGACTGATACATTTATTGTGGCTAAACAGTTCAGTTGTCACTAATGCATACATTTGTACCCAATCTTTAGAATTGTTGTGGTGTAAGTAAGTTTTTCCAGTGGATCTATCAACTGCTCTATTCAGAACAAGGGTGCCTCCTGTTTTTTTCCCTGTGGAATCTTCTTCTTTTTCACTTCCAAAGAATTGGATTATTTTAAAAACAATTTGATTGTTCAGGACAATTCTTATTCTGAAAGTTTTATCCTTAATAATGTGATTTCTGCCTTTCTGCCTAAGGTAATTATAATTAAGAGTAAAATAATCTTTAAGATATGCTGTGATTTTTCACGAGAAAAGAAAGAAGGATTCACATTGTTCCCTTCTGAGGTTCATTTGTAAAGATTGATGTATCTATTTCTATCCTCTGACCAATTGATCAGGACCCAAAGCTGGCAGTGCAGTGAAGAAGGTGACAGTCTATTTACTCAGAACGAGATTAGATTAGATTAGAAACAAGAAACTGCCCTATTTTCTCTGGAAAAGAGACAAGCCTAAATATGTTTTTGAGCTA